AATTGAACGAGATAGATATATTCATCACAAGTGATGTGACCCTCCACTGTGGGCATCTATAATTAGAGCTAAGTAATTATACGGTTCTTTGTTCATTAGTTCCATTAATACTCTAATGGGTGACAAAGATTCACTATTCACACATTCACAATTCATTATTCATTGTATAGTAACATTTATAAAATTTCGCTTATGTCTTTTGTCCTTTGAGTGTGAATTGTCAATTTTATCCTTTTTTTCTTCTCTTTTTCCTTTCTTTGCGCATGGACTTTTACGTCTTTCGCTCTAGCATTGTCACATGTCGATGTTCGGCTGGCTGAAGGAAAATAAAATAGAATTAATTTAAAACACAATGAAATAAGTTATATTATTTTTCTTCTCTCTTTGCTTAAGATTTTCCCCCTTTATTATTTTCATTTATTTTATGTCATATTTTTTACTTCTTTTTTTAAAACAATTTGTATTAGCCATTATTTTAAATTAATCATGTGTGTGTAGCGCGCGTTTAAGGCTAAAACTAAACAAAGACTAAAAAAAATATTGAAAAAGAAAGGTGTTAATTTGTGATCCGATTTTATCAATTTTAATATCATTTTGTGCTAAATTTTCAAAGCCTCTCAAATGATAATAGTATAAATAATTTGAATGAAAAATAAAATTAAATAAAAATACATTAAAATAAAATAAAGTCGCACCTTTTTAAATAAATTAAACTAGAAATTACTTAAGTGATTGGAACAGCAGCACAAGCAATGATCAAAAAACCATGCTCTACATTAACAATTGATGAATGCTTTACTGATCTATTTATAATTCAACAAATCATTGCTCAGTTAAAAGGACAAACAAAAATCTTGCAAGTTTATTTTCAACAAAGGAGAGCACAAATAACTACAGTTGTTTCAAAAATATTTGAAGATGTCAATTTTTCAATACCACTACCATAAATATCAACTGCCACAACAATAGATCTAAAAAGATTGACCGCAAGCTAAGACGTATTTACTAATTTATATCAATTATCAATAAAAATTAATATTTATTATTTTAAATACATATATTAACAATCTTTAATCAATTCAGTTCAGAACCAAGTGCAACAGACCCATCTAAAAATGCTTAAGAATCAAGTAATATATCTATTTCTAAATCCTTTAATTTATATTGCATATAATTAAAAATTTTCAACTTTTTTAATTTTTTATTATAAAAATTTCTAACTTTTTATATAATATAACAGTATTTTTCAGAACAACGCGCAAACTTTTAGTTAGTTAACACTAAAAAAGGATATTATTAATGGAATATTTATTTTAAAAATTTATTACTGATTATGAATTATAATTCTTAATTTTCTATAATAATATTTTTTATAAAAAAATTAAATTTTAAAAATTAGAATCATATATTATAATTTTAAATTCATAAATTAAACCTGCCATAAATTTTCAAAATTCGCGGGTGCAAGTTCCGAAAACAACAAAAATTCAAACCACGATATCTTCGCCCTTCGACGTGTGATTTGAGTGATTTACGTTCCTATAAATTCAGAACGACAAGACAAGACGAAGAAAACCCACTCATTTTGCCGTCTAATTTCCACCAGAGCGCCGCCGTATGAGGTTGTCAGAGGAATCGCCGCTGTTATCGCCAGATTTTGTCCTGCCAGAGGTGGTGAGGTGCACCACCGGTGCAGTTGGACTCAAAGGGCGATGACGAGTAGATTCCCTTCATCAGCTGCCCTTCTCCACTGCTGGTTGCCAGAGTTTCGAAGACCTCGTTGTCCACCACCGTCGTTCGGCCTATCCGGGTGAATCTGAAAGTCATTTGTTTGAGTCTCTCGCTAGAAAAGGGAAGGAGGAAACGGGAAGCTCTTTCCTTGATTTTGACAAGCTTTTGAGTTTGATTTTTTTTTTAGTTATTTCTTCAAACCATTCTTATTCTTGGATTACTTTTTTGGTTGTCATCTTCGTTGATGTTGTTCATCTCTCCACTGTTGCACTTTTTGTTTTTTTTTTTGTTTTAACTAGGCATTTTCTATTTTGGAAGAAGAAAGAAATTTTCAACCAGTTTTCGTTTTTTTCCCCTATAGTTTTACACACTAACTAGATATGGTGAAAATTTTTAAAGTTGTTTTTAAGATCCGTTTAATTTATTAATTTGAATTAATTAATTTGAATTAAAATATAATTTTATGTAAAATTTTTTTATTATAACAAAATAATTAAATGTGATTACTTTTAAAACTATAACAAAATTTAAAATTTAAATTCGAATCAATAAAATAAATAAAAATTTAAAAACCTCATACCTAGTAACACGCATTATATTATGTTTATAAGTTAATTGTCGTTTGTTAAATATGTCTAATTGTAATAATTTATCAAAATTTAAAATTTAAAATAATTTAGGCTTCGTTCATTTCGCAGATTCGAGTTTAGATGTGACATTTTTTTAGAGTTTTTTATTGTAACAGAAAAAATTAAATGTGATATTTTTTTTAAAATTTTTTATTGTAAAAATTTAAAACTAAAAACTTAAATCGGTAAAATGAATAAGGCCTTATTTATTCTCGACAAGTACAGTGCTAAAAATCCTTATAAAAAACATAATAGATCATGTTTGAATATTTGACTACCCTTGAACAAGTCACGTTGGAGTTTGATGACGTGTTTGCCGTTATATATATATAATATATAGGTTGACTGGATGAACAACCAAGAATTGCCACACTCATTTTTCCATCATGATTTTCCGGAGATTGAAAAAAAAAAGGAAAAAAAAAAAGATATATATATCGAACTCTGCCGGCATGACAAATAAATTTTGAAAACATTTTTTTTCTCTTTTTAGCACGAAAAGAAAAAGGCACGCAGGGGGCAGAAAACTGGAGGAAAGCAACGAAGATAAGAGCAGAAAAGGTTATGCCGCGAATGTCCATTCGCTGAACGTAATCCGAAGGCCGTAGATGCACATTCGCCCGCGCGTCTAGTCAAACAGTATAGAAACTACAGTAGACGAGGAGTCCACACCTCCGGTTCCGTCTACCAACTTTTTTAAAAAATAGAAAAGTTAGCATGTTAATCCTAGACTATAAGCGCGGTCCATAAGGGTTCGTTCTTTTAGAGTTTAATTTTAGTATAATTTTTAAGTTAAATTTGAGTTAAATTTATAATTTGAGTTTGTGTTTGTTGTGTACATTTGAGTTATGGTTTGAGATAAGAATCTTTTTGACTTTACGTTTGAATGAGTTAAAACTTGAATTTGTATTTAGATAGTATTTTAATAAAAACTCAACGCTGATGAAAAATTTTAATACGGTATATGGGTCAGATTTTATTCGTCTTTTCGTTGTCAACGCATAGAAAAAAAATAATCTCAATCAGAATTAAAACGAAAAAGTTATAGCATTTTTAAAAATAGAAAAAATATTATTCATTAATTTGAGTTCGAGTTTCTGAACTCGAGTTTAAGGAGAAACTTGAACTCGAGTTTTAGTCCTAAACTCAACTTTGAACTCGAGTTTAAACTCGAGTTTAAACTTAAAAAAACATGAACTCGAAAAAAGTTGTAACCCGAGTTGTATTTTTTTGAGTTTTTCGCTCAAAACAACAAGTCCTAAAATTTTTAGCATATTACTTTGAGTTTATATATATATTTTGTTTATTTAATTCATGTTACAATAAAGAATTATTGGGTTTAATAAAAAATAATTATTTTAAGAAAAATGAGTGAAATAACATATTTAATACATAATACTAAAGATTTTACAAAAAGAAATATTAGTCACATATTTTTAATTTTTAAAAGTTCCTAATTAATAAATTTTGCACCTAACACGATTAGTTTGTGAAATTTGAAATGATGTTATGACAATATGATTTTCTTTAATTTTTAAACGCAATTATCTTTTTGCTCTGTTTAAATGTATTTATCTTTGATACTGACGGATATCGACCAGTAACACTTACAGATATATTTAGTATTACAAAATATATGTTGAAGGCATGACATAGTATTTTCTGTAAATATATATTTTTTAGACATAAGTCAATCCAAGCCATAAATTTGTGTTATGTCTGTAAAGAGCTCAAAGATTATTAGAGCTAGGTCGGCCTTAGACCTGTCGTGCTTTAGAGCCAGGATGGGTCAACTCTTTCCATGCCTAATTTAAAATTTTAATTCAGATCGTTGAGTCTTGGTCGGGTTAGATTGCGTTGTTGTCTGAACTTTCACTTTTATTAAAGAGTAAAGATCAATACTCATTAGCCATATCAAGGAATAAAAGAAAATAAATATTGTTATAAAAAATTAATAGTGTTAAGTACTGTTCACTAATAAAAAGTGAGTCATATAATGTATGAAACTCATAAGTGAAGCCCACCTTTTATTAGTATATTGCTTAACAGTTAACACCAATAGCACCTCAAAATATTTTTCAAAAAAGAAAAAAGAAAAAAAAACATTAAAGAGAGAAAATAAATAAATAAAAGAAATAAGCATAAACGATAAGAAGATTATCCGTTTGTTGTAGGATGAGTCATCTTTTCCCAAATTTTTCCCTTATAATTAATTAGGCCTCGTCATTGTCTTACCCAGTAGCGCATTGACAGCTAAGATTCCTCCATTCTAGCACGTGTCAACTAGGCGAAACACGAGCCCGTTTGATACTTAGATTTGTTTTCAGATTTAAATTATATTTCGTGATTCACTACAGTATTTTCTCTCATAAAAAATACACATAAATTAAAAATGATTCTAATCACATAGTTTGAATCTATGAACTAAACGCTACCTAAGAACCTATTTAATTTATGAATTAAAATTATGAGATTAAAATTATTTTTAATTTACATATATTTTTTATAAAAAAAAAATAATGTAACAAATCATAAACAATAATTTAAATTAAAAAATAAATTCTCAAACTAAAAAACACCCAAAACTAAAACCTTCTCCTATTGGATACCGCCACACCCGACCGGATCACTCCGTACTGTTCCCAATTACGCGCGTACCTACACTGAAACCACATCCACTCCCAAACTAAACCAAAAAACAAAAACAAAAAAACACAAACACACACACAAAAACACAAACACAATCCCAGAGGTTTCTCTCTCTTTCTCTCTTTGTGTGTCTTTCTCAGTTTCCAGTTCGGTTTGCTTAGTGTTAACGTTTGTGGGGGATTTTTTTTTTATTTTTTTGTTAACGTTTGTGTTTTTGTGTTCGAGTTTTTGGACCGCTGAGATTTGGTTTTCGAGGTTCTGAGCCCTAAATTCTCGGCCGTTGATTTTTTTTTTTTTTGGGCGTTTTGAAGTTAGACCGTCCGACCTGGACTTTTTTGGAAAAAGAAAAGAAAAGAAAGTGAATAAATAAAAAAGAAGCAAGAAACCTGGCTACTCACTCTGTTGTTGCATCCAAACGGCATGAGCACAGGTCAGTCCAATCTTTCTCTTTCTCCCTCTCTCTCTCTATCTGCTGTGGATTTTTTCTATATATATGTATATGTATTTTTTTTTTTGTTATTTTCTGTGTTCTGAGACTTACGGAGATTATCTTTGCTGCTAATGATTAGTTATTGTTCTGTCGAGTTTTGATTCGAACTTCTGAGGCTCGAAATTTTGAGGCTTAGATTTGAATTATCAAGTTTATTTTTGAGATAAACGAGAAATAGTTGATTCGGTTTTTTGAATTCTCCTGTTTGCTGGACCAAGTTTACTTTCTCTCTCTCTCTCTCTTCTTTGTGTGTGTGTGTGCGCTTAGAAATGAATTCAATTTCTGTTTATGAATTCTGAAACGAGAATTGCTTGATTTGATTTGAAAACGAGACTAGTTGCTCCTAGTTGTAAATATACTCGAATTTTGTCAATCGATTTTGAAATTAGTTTCGTAATTTGGAAGTACTTGTCTTGTTTATGTTATGCTAACAAATTCGGTGAACTAAGTCAAAATTCAGAGAGAAAATAATACGTAAATAGAATTCAGCTCTTTTGTTTCGATTTAGACTTTTTGAGAAATTGCAAGTAATTAGAAAAAAATTAGTTAGCATGCTTTTGTTTGTATTCTTCTGCCGCCAAACCCAACGCGACTTTAGGACTTTTTGTACTTGAACAAGAATTCAAATTTTGAATTAACTTTTGGTAACAAGAAATACACTTGAGTTCACTTCTTTATTACTAGTAATTCAATTAACTAGTTGGTCCTGTTTGTAATTTTTAAGCCCCCAAATTCCTCAGAAATTTTTTTGGTTATTACACATACACTTGAATGTTTGTGTATGTGAAAAGTGAAATGCTATTTGTTCAGAAGAGTTATATATAGTTGATCTAGCGAGTAATGAATCTATAGTTATTTATAATAACTAGTTCTTTTCAAGATAAGGAGTACATAGTACTCTGTAATGATAGTGGTGTCCAAGAATTCTTTGAGAGTTTGATATATATATATATAAACACATTTATTCTTCTAGATAGAAAGTGTAATTATAGGGGTTTGCAATAATTCCTTAAGAAATTGTGTGGGGGTGTTCAATAGTTCGTAGTGAAACCGGGGGTGAATTTGACGAATACCGCTTTTAGGGAGTTGGTAGTTGAATATACCACTTTTGTGGAATGACTTGAGCCTAATTTGCACATAAAAATAGTACAATTGAATAACTAGACAACTTGGCCTGATTTACAAGAGAAACTAGTTTTGCGCATTTGAAACATGATTGTATCAAAAGAATGTTACCTGGATAGAGCTGTGTAGATAATCATCGAGAAACTTTCTCACCGAATCCTAGGAGATGGATACGAAAATCCTTTCTATTTTTATTTTGAAATTGATATTGAAATTTTGATTAGTCCTTGGCTTGGTCTTGAGTTTTGAAAGTTTATAGAGTTGAATTCTATTCAAGACCAGACATTTTAAATTGTTTTAGTTAAAGGATTTTGTGTGCCAATATCTTATTCATTATAAGCGACTTTTACCAAAGAATGTTGCTATTTTCACATTGTAACAGGTCCAGATTAACAACGTAAATCTACATGTCCGTTGTGTTATTAGACTAAAAACTTTTTTGTTCCTTGGCTGTTGTGTTCACTGTTCACGTGCTTTGTAAATACCGTCAAGCAGAAAAGTAAACTGCTATTAAATCCTTAAAGAAAGAAAAAAAAAGACGAGTTTCAAGAAGCAATCTGATGGGAACAGGGGAAGAGAGTGCAGCGTCTAAGCCTAAACCATCAGCTTCAACTCAGGTAGTTAACTACCTCTTCCTCTTCCCCTGTTCCTTCTTGTCAAGTTATTTACACAATTTTACCCTTTTATGTACAGGATATCCCAACCACACCATCATATCCTGATTGGTCGAGTTCTATGCAGGTTTATGATTATACAAAATATGTGGATTTCGTTCATAACTACGTCATATAAGATTTAATTTGGTATATTTTACAATGTGATGTTATAGCTTACAATACAGCTTCTTATTTAGGCTTATTATACTGCTGGTGCTACTCCCCCGCCCTTTTTTGCCTCGACGGTTGCTTCGCCGACCCCTCATCCGTATCTTTGGGGAAGTCAGGTGAGTATCACCTTTCCTTTGCAATTATAGATTGATACATATTATTTAGGCCATAGATTCTTATTTGCTCTTATGTTGACGAATTTTCAGCATCCTCTTATTCCGCCGTATGGAACTCCAGTTCCATACCCAGCTATATATCCACCAGGGGGAGTTTATGCTCATCCTAACATGCCCACAGTATGATATTCTTTTGTTGTTGTCTACTCATCGTTGTCTTTGTTTTGTTTTGTTTTTCTTATTATCAGTGCTATTTCTCTCAATCAGACCATTGTAGATGGAAATGGCTCAAAAATATCTGGAAACTTGTAAGTTGCTCATCTAATTTTTCTTCCATTTCTTCTGCAGACTCCTGTCCCCATGAACACAAATCAAGACATGGAGGGTAAGGGCACAGATGGCAAAGACCGAGGATCAGCCAAAAAGTCCAAGGTAAATTCCAGAAATGCGGGAGCGGTTGGTGGGAAGGCTGGGGAGAGCGGAAAAGCAACTTCAGGCTCAGGGAATGACGGTGCTTCGCAAAGGTTCTTAATCCTTTTGTTTTCAGATTTTCCTCTTAACAAGCTTTAGATCATCGTCTTTCTTTGGTGTTAATCTTAGTCTATATGTTTTGATTGAATCTTTGATGATCTGTATATAGTGCTGAAAGTGGTTCGGAGGGTTCATCAGATGCAAGCGACGAGAATACCCAACAGGTATGCGACACCATTACTAGTACTTTACATAATAGTGTTATTTAGCAATCACTTTACACGTGAATTTGAATGGTTAAGGAATTTGGTTAAGCCTTTTGGTACTGAACTGGAAATGTCATCGCATGTGTGAAATCAGTTGCTTCCCGGACATATCACCTTGCAATTTTAACCAATTAAAGTCCTTTTTTCATGATGAACCTTTTTTTTCCCCTTGGGCTAAAGTAGATGTACTCTTTTGTAGTCTAATTAAAAATGCGCCTAATTTTGTTGTAGGAGTTCTCTGCTAACAAGAAGGGAAGCTTCGATCAGATGCTTGCAGACGGTACATTATTTATTGTCAAACTACAATTCCTGCATGTGTTGTAATGATAATTAAAAATAATTGCTGAAATGTATTAACAAATAATTTCTCAGGAGCCAATGCTCAGAATAACACAGCTGGTTCCATTTTGCAAGCTTCAGTGCCTGGGAAGCCTGCAGGCTCAATGCCAGCAACCAACCTGAACATCGGCATGGACTTATGGAATGCATCTTCCGCCACTGCTGGAGCCACAAAGTTACGACCAAACCCATCTGTTGCCTCCTCGTCGGTTGCTCCATCCACGATGATTGGACGCGAAGTTGTAATGCCCGACCAATGGATTCAGGTATTAGCACTGGGCTCATTATTCAACTGTTCCTGAAATGTCAAAAGAAATAGATCAATAAAGTTGATAATGATGTGCCGCTAATCAACCTTCGATTTTTAATTTCATTTTCTGCCTATATGCCAATAAGGGCATCTGTTTACTAATTGATATACTTCTAATATTGACAGGATGAACGTGAACTAAAAAGACAAAAGAGGAAGCAATCCAATAGGGAGTCAGCTAGGAGATCAAGATTACGCAAGCAGGTAAAAAATTATACTTGTACCTATTTGTCCTCGCCAACCTTGTGTTCGTGTTTTCTGGCCAAGGTTAAAAGATGATAAGAGCAGGTAAAGGGAAAAGCAAGGAGATTTTCAACGTAAACGGAAATATTATATCGTCTGTACTCAGTATCTGTTCAAGTGATAATAGTGTGTAAATAAATATTTTTATATATGTTTCTGTTCTAATATACTTGCTTATGAAGCAAAAATCGATTTTGCATTTCTTGTTCTCATCAGGCTGAGTGTGAAGAGTTACAAGTGAGGGTTGAGAACTTGAGCAATGAAAACCGCAGCCTTAGGGATGAGCTGCAGAAACTTTCCGAGGAATGCGAAAAGCTTACTTCTGAGAATAGTTCAATCAAGGTCAGTCTCACCTTCTCTTGTTCCTTTCTTTCTTTGTATTTAAAAATTATTAATCTAAATCAAATTGAAGTATAGATCGTTTTCCCATAAATTTTACCAACTCAAATCTCAACTTTTATATATTAACTGATGTGGCATGTGAGTAGTCACTTTTTTTATTGATGAGTGTTTGAAATATTACCACGTCATTTTGTTATTGGTCGGAATTATCTATTAGTTTTTATTTATTTATTTATTTCTTTCATTCATGCTTGTCTTTCTCCTTTTATATTTTCACGATTGGCACCTCCCTTTTAATCATTTTAATGTCATTTTTGGCTAAAACAAAGTTTTCCAAAATGTTAGTTGTGTACCATAACCTCTGCTTAAATTTCGCTAATGCGTAATATCACCGGGGACTTATTAGTAAGCCTGAACCAGCGAAATCAACTGTACTTTTTTTTAAAAAAAAAAACTGGAGGAAAATTTGTGGTTTAGTTGGTTTTGATTTCTTCGGACAACTAGATATAAATTAACACGTTAGATTTTTTAAAGACCGCTCTAAAACGATCAAAACCTTTATTTTCTTTTACTACTTTGTTACTTTGTTAAGCAGGAATTACAACTTATATGATTTTGTGATCATAACAGGAAGAATTAACGCGATTGTGCGGACCGGATGTCGTTGCGAATCTTGAACATCAGGCTCGTACTGGCGAGGGCAAGAGCTAAAAAATAATAATAATTAATAATAATGCGGTTAGAGTAGAAATTAATAAAATACTCCAGGAGAATAATCCTGGATTTAATTAAGCAGAGAACATTTATTTTTTGCCACTAATTCACGTCTATAACCCCCTAATCTTTGATTGAGTTGCACGGACTAGGTTATGTTTTGCAAGTCGTATCATTTACCCATGGCAAAAAGCATGTATAGCAGGAGCTCAGTAATTCAAATTAAATTACCTTTTGTGATGATTAAGAAGCACAAACATTTACAAGCCCGCTCGACTGAAGAAACTAATATCTATGCTAACCTAGCACACAGCACACAGCACACAGCACACGTCTCTCTCTCTCTCTCACACACACACACACACACACACGCATTTATGACAGGCGAGGGTGCACTAATCATCATGAGCATGATCAGACTCGACATCCGAGGTGGTTGCTCCTTGGCCTTCGATTGCGTTGGTTGGTCGGGTTTGAAAATTTCCTCCATTTAATAATTGATCCGCTGGATTTAGAAAAATAAATAATAAAACAAATAAGATTATGTGTGTGTGTGTGTGTGTGTAGCATACGAAAATAAATCGGTAATGCAACGAAAGCATTACAATTTGCAGTTATTCCCCCCCTCCATATGTAGTCAGCTATAGCTGTTTGATTATGTACAAGAAATAATCATTAGACAAAAGAAAGAGTGGTGTCGGAATCCTATATTTCATTCGAACCTTTTTTTTTATACCAAATCCGGCAGGTGAGTTGGTAAATACAATGTTAATAATAAATAGATCTGAATTTCCAAAAAAAAAAAAGGTGAAGATTTTAAACGTCTATTAATTTAAAGATAGTAACTCAATTACTTGGCACTAAAAGTTGGGAATGCCTGTCAGTTTTCAGAGAAAAAATGTATGGAATAGTGGGGTTTGGGCGAAGGTTCGTCGTATTGCATCAAATAAGAAAAGAAAAGGGCTTCATTCTTACCTGATCCCATAATCTTCAGAAGCACCGCCCTAGCATATTGGATTTCTTCTCTGTGTGAACTGAAGAGTTTGACCTGCATATTGAAACCATAGAATCGCTTGGAATTTGGAAACACATTTCGTCCAAAACGTGGATACAAACACGCACTTGCAGTTTTCAAGCAATAATCCGGAGTTGTAAACAAGAGATTTAAAATAGCCAAAAACGGAATAAGAAATACAAAGGGACAGACCATTTCACGATATGCAACGCCCAAAAACTGATCAATTCTCGATTGATGCCTCAAGAAGAAGGGACGCAAGTGGCTCATGTACAACTGCTTAGCGCCCTGGTGGAAAGCAGCACTTAATTTAACCGTCGAAAGTTCTCATATCTGAAGGATGAACTTTGTGCGTGTGCGAGTAAAAATAAAAGAGACCGACATTCTTTTAAAATAATAACAACAATATGAACTTACATCAACAGATGGAAGTTGAAGCCAAACAAGAAATGCGAACTTCGTATGGTAATACATGGGAACCCTGTTTATTAAGAAATCCAAACGTCAGGAAACAAATAGTTTCAAACATGTACTTATTCCAAATCCAAACCATCTACCTGCATTATCTTGAATATGGACAATAGGTGTCATGTTTTCTTCAATCGTTACTGTAATCACTCTCTTAAGGCCCATATATGAAAATAAAAGTGCATGAGTAGGCTCATCAAGACCTTTAACATAAATACAGCCAAGCGTTTTAAAAGCATTCCCCACATTCTATTGTTTGGGGCAAAAGGACGGGTACTGTAACAGATGCATGATCAAAATTCAAAGTAACACATGAATACGTGTAGCCAAAAGTGAGTTGGAAAAACTGAAAGATCTTGATCACATATGTTTATCCAATCACTAATTGCTACATTTGTTTTCAAAAGTAACTCTGCATCATACCTTGTCCCTGTGAGAACAAGGACCATGGTTTAGAGAATGGAGTTCAGAATCATACCAAGAAATAAGATTATCTGAAAATACTTCCACAAGGCTGAAAGAACCATAAGCTGCAATAAATGAAAACGGACATTAAACGGAACCAATACTCACATGCTTCTAAGTACCAACACAACAACAGCAGAAGCAGCACCACAAACGAACTCCCACACGCAGACCAGGCAAATTTCTTATTTATTATTGTTTATTTATTCAAGGCAGAATCAAGTTGAGAAAACAGTGTAGCAAAAAAAGTTGAATTTGAATTTTTGTGAGAGAAAACATTGTAGTGAAAAGTTTGATTTGTTATTCGAATTATGAAACGAACAAGGCCTAAGTTAGCAAAGATGGTTTCTCTTGCTTCCATACCAACACATTATAGCACAATGTTAATCGTCATTCTTTCAAGACATGACAGAAGTTTTTTCTATCAGCTATTAATCAAGAACAGTTCCTAAAACATGGTTTTTAAATTTAGCAAATGCCATTTGATGATCTGGACTGATGACATTCTGCTAAAGGACATAACAAGATGAGAATTCTGAATTAGGCAGCAGAAGAATACATGAACATACCAGAATTAAAAGCATCCAAAATCAAAGAAAGTAAAATGAGAATAAAAAACAAAAAAAAAAAAATGCCGAACCTGCCCAATATATAAGCCATCTTTGTTGCTCACTGTTATCTTTCTTTTCAATTGCCTTAAATGTAGAGTATACAGGTAGAACAATGCCCACAGAACAACTAAAAAAAAGAACAAACCATATCAAGAAAACAACTAAACAATAAGGATTATAGCTTTCGTGGCTTGTACTACCCTCCTTACCCATTTGGAGGTTGGAAACAAAAGTAACTGCTTTAGTACTACGGAACTTATTATAGACCTATAAATGATTATCCACGAGTAATGTACTTGATAATATAAGCCCTTATCCATTGAAATAGCATGTATTTAGAAAGGAAATTCAAGGCAATCAAAAGAAAAATCAAGTGTAACATAATTAGAAAAAGCGTTGATCACACAACTTACCACGCTGTTCGGACTATGACGTTCGATCCGAGAGGACTAAGAAGTAACCGCAATCCAACCTGCATCAGGAACATAAAAGAATCAAAGTCAGAATGCAACAATCACAAAGGCAATCAACTCCATTATATATATATATATATATATATATATTCAAGATTACGATAATAATACTAGAGAAAGAGCCTCTGAGGACCAAAAAAGCGTATGCTTTGAAAAAATTAACAAAGTGCAAAAGTAAATTTCTAAATTATCATCAAACTAGCCACGGTATTGAAGAGAAATCTTCGTTCGATCAATTCTTCCCATCTAATAGTAATCAATGAAATGAACTAGTAGCAAGTTCAAAATCAGGAAGATTATATATGCATATACATGTATACATGTGCGTGTATGTGTATATAAATATATATATATATATATATACGGAATAAATAGTATCATCAGTCAAATAGAGATTTAACAGATTTCTCAAAAAAAAAAAAATGAAGATTTAACAGAGTAATAATTACAGCCATAATCACCGCTTAACTTTGCAATCACATAAAAATTGATCGGGACAAAAAATTGAGTAAAGTGTACGGTTCGAATCGGATTAACGTGAAACAATGGAAATCAGCAGAGATTAAAGGACGCCACAAATAGAAGAAGAAAAAACGAAATTCAAAATTCGAGATCCGAATTCAGAGCTTATACGAGAAAATGAAAAAACGTGAGGCCAAATCCGAAACCCTAAGCAGAGCAATGAAATAAGCGAAGAGAATTGAAGGAGAAGATCCGTACTGACCTCGCTGGTAATGGTGGATCCGAGAAGAGCCATTACAAAAGCAGAGAGTCCGATTAACCGCCAAATTTCGTTTGCTGTCACCGGCGTTTGCGCTTGGCTTTCGATTTTCTGAATTTCAAATACAAACGCTGAGCCTGCGTCAGTGCACGGTGGTGCGGGCTCATCAAACAACAATGCCGTTACGAGATGAGAATTTTTTTCCGTCCCTTTCACACACGTTTAAGCGAGTGATTCTGATTAATTTATTGAAATTTTATACCAAAAAAATTAAATTTAATTTTTTTGTAAAATAAAATACACTATATCAAAATTAAAATCATAAGTTATAATAACAAAATGGATCCTAAGAATTTCTAGATCGTAACTCAAAATTTTTATCATAAGGTAAAAAACTTAATATTATAAAAGTAGTTATTAGTGCATGTTTCTTTTTTTTTTAATAGGTACTTTGTATTTCAAGTTAAAGATATATACATACTAAGGCCCCGTTCACTTCACTAATTCGAATTTAGAATTTGAGTTGAGATGTGACTTTATGTGAGAGCTTTTTACTGTAGCAAAAAAGTTAGATGTGATTGTTTGTTAGAGCTTTTTACTGTAAAAAAACTCAAATTCTAAACTCGAATCAGCGAAGTGAACGGGGCCTTTTATTAGACATAAAGGATATTTAATCTTTATTTTTTGTGAATATATTTATCTTCAAATGTAAATGAATCTAAATATTCTTCCTCTACATCTACATCTTTCAATACAATAGTTATATGACAAGTGGGTCTTTTTATCGGATAACCCCGTCCTCAAGCTCGAGGTTTTAATTTTTTCACAGTGTTGCCCTCGTTGACTTCAGAGGTTTCACTGGTTCAATCTAGTGACACGCAAAGAGTAGGCGTTCTTAAACAAATCTCGATGATTGATGGAAAGCTCTAATTGGTAGAGAGGTGATGAGTGAGTTTTACTCGCTTATTTAGTATCGTTTTACACTTAATATCTAGTTGGTTTTCGAGGTTTTTGTTAGTTTTTATGTGTGTTTTTGTTCTTTGTTTGAAGGTTAGGTAAAAGTCTATGATTTGGAAGGTTTTGGATAAATTTCACTGAAATTTGACGAAATTAGTGCATTGGGGCAGAATGGGCAGCGCTTAGGCGCCCATGACAGCGCCGCAACACCCTGAATTTTACACAGTAGCGCCGCAGCGCTAGGAACTTAGCGCCGCGGCGCTACGACGCGAGAAAAGACGCGTTTTGAAGGCCAATCGCGAGAAAACTGACCTGTTTTGACCCTAATGCTCGGAAACATATAAATAGATTATTCTAGGGCAATTAGAAGGGACTTTTAGATTGTGGAATGACGGCTGGCTTTTGAGAGAAGATTCAAGAGAAGAAAAGGAGAATTGGGACGGAGAAGAAGAACGGCTCAAATCCGGAGACGGAGACGCTTCAATTCAACTCCAAACTAGTTCTTTTCTTTCCTTTCCAATGATTAAGACTTTGTTTAGGAATTTATTTTGTTTAGAGATGAACTAATTCCTTTTTCTAGGGCTACGATGTAGCCGGATTATGAATGTTCGAATTCTCAATCTTCTTTTTAAGTAATTGATGTTTAATCCATATATACTGAGTATTTCAATTTATTCTTAATGCTTGTGATTGTTTGGCCAACTATTACATGATTTTGTATTTGATTTGAGACTGAGAGGTGATAATTGAATAAGCTCTTAATTGAAATACCATGAGTTGTTCATAGGATAGAGATATCTATGATGCTTGTGCAGTTCTTTTGAATTTCTTGCACTTAATGATTTTTAACAGGTTTAGAAGTCTGACAGAGATGTAGATTTTGCTTGTTGGATTAACATTATTGTTGCTTGAGAAAGAATAATAATTGCTTTAGAGAAATTGCTGTCATTATATGATTGAATGTTAATTTTCTTGAATTACGAGAATTTGAACATGATTAATTTGGTGAAATTGGAAACCCTAGAATCTTAATCTATTGAATTTTCATCCATTGCTTAGCATTGTTTAATTTATTTAATTGTTTTAGTTTTACTTTACTTAATTTTATAAACTATCTTTTAAGTATTCAAATAAAATTAGGGTTAATACAATTTCGGTAATTAGTAAACAACAATCCTCGTGGGACGATATTCTTATTCACTATTATATTACTTGATTGCGATAGCGTATACTTGCTGTTATTTATTTTATTGTTCTTGTTTTGTGCTCTGCAGGAATTCACTCTTGTTTTTGCTAATATCGATACCAAATAACTCTAATTTTACTTTGGATTTTAATGTTGATTAATATGGGTACTAATTAGCTCTAGGATTAATTTGATTTTTTTTTTGTGTGTTTTTCGAGTTTTTTCTTTCTTTTGCAGGTAAAATAAAAAAAAATAAAAAAAAATGATGACTAAGTTGGAGATGGGCCAAGCCATCATCACTTTTGCTCAACACGACACTGAACTGCTTCATCAAGCTTGGGAGAGATATAATGAGCTATTGGCTAGGTTTCCGCAACATGGTATTCCAAAGTGGCTTCAACTTCAAATCTTCATTAAAGGATTGAGCACAACAACCAAAAGTTGGGTGGAAGATGGCTATGATACAACCCCATTCTGTGAAAGACCCGAGGATGAAGCCTACCAAATGATGGACGATATGGTGAAGTTTTATCAAGATTGGTACATTCAAGAGAAGTTGTAAAGAGAATTAAAGCCTCTAAAGGAAGATGAGCCTCAAGAAGAAGAACAAGAACCCTTCAAATTTATTTTTGCTCAAGCCTCAGCACAGATGGACTCTCGTAGTGCCGACACCGATTTGCTAAGAAACGAGGTGTCCATCCAAAACCATGAGTTTTATAAAGACCAAATTTCATGCATGGCTATGGATAGCGAAGTTGAGAGTGAAGAGAAATTAGAGGGATTATTTGAGGATTTCCTAGATGAAGAAGATATACGAGAGCCGTTAGAGGATGAAGAAGCATACGAGGCCATTGAATTGAGCTCATTTGTGATTTTATCATACACACCAACAACGGATCCTTACTTCCCTCCGACACCACCATCACCATATTATGTCCTCTACATGATTGAGCCCAAAGAAAAGTTCTCCTTCCAACCTCATCATCAATCAAAGCGAAGCCGTGTTGGAACAATGAGCCGAATACTTCCAAATCATGCCAAGCTTGAGGGCATCCATAATCTAGACCCATATATCGTGTTGTATGACACTTATTGTGGGCGAAAGCCGCTATTTGACGAGCACTTCCCCAAACATCCGGCTGAAGACATTAAAGTTAATAAACAAGTTTTGGGGTTGCTCTAAGGATTTGCAATTGAAACGAAACTCAAGCAGGCATTAGCAAGAATGAAAGCACAGATTTGGCAGCAGCAGTAGCGCTTTGGCGCTCAAAAGAGAGCGTTTTGGAAAAAAATGGCAGAGCACGTAGCACTTTGGCGCTACCATGCAGCGCCTTGGCGCTACCTCCAATAAAATAAAATAAAAACCCTTGCAACTTCCGCACCTCCTCTTGCACCTAATAAAGACACTGACTGACAACTACTCAGGGAAGTCCTCTAAACTCTCTTGCTTTACTTTTCCATTGAGGACAATGTCAGTTTTAAGTTTGAGGGAGTTAACTATCTTATTTTATGTTATTTTATTCAGTTTATTAAAAAAAAAAACTTGAGCTTTAGTTCGGCTTGTTTCACCCCGGCCGATGATGAGACAACGATTAAACTTAACTATGGTTTCTGGGAGACAATGAATAATTTGATTGTTTGTGTGCTTGACTTATTTGTTGGTTTTACTCTACTTATGATTTCTTTACATTGTTGAGCACATAATTAAGAACACTTGACCATGTTGTGAACTAAGAGAAAGTTTATGTGAATTTCGTGTTTCTTAAGATCTCACCGGACTCTAGAACTTGTTTGATTATCACTCGAGGCGAAATCCCAAGCAATTTGTTACTAAGGAAATGATTTAGGCCATTTTTTGGATCGTTTGAGCCATTTGATCTTACCCTGTTATAATAATATCCCTAGTCACCTCTGTGAGCCTGATTAAACTTTTATTTGTCATCCACATTATAAGCTTAGCCTCTAAATAAATCCTATCATTCACCCATTCCCTTGAGCTTGTTGATTATTCTAGGATGCACGTTGAGTTGTGTTTAGAATTGGGAGGTGTATTGATATTTTCTATAATTTGTTTGATGTCTCCAATGAAATTCTGTATTTATCGTATTATTTCAAAAAAAAAATGAAAAAAAAGAAGAAAAAAAAGAGAGAAAAAAAATAAAGAGTGGAGACAAGAATGTTGATGGCAAATGGCAGATGTATTGGGATATTGAGTTAGAAGTTCTACAAGAGGATCCTAGAGTAATTGATGAGTTTAGGAAATTCAGAGCCTCATTGATATCCGTTTATCCTACCTTAATCCCTAGCCATTCAGTTCAAGCTTAATAAAGTCCTATTGATCCTTGGTGGTTTGTTGACCGACATTAGTGGAGAGTGATAAGAAAAGCAAGCCTATGGAGTTCGAAAAATCATAGATCTACCTTGATTCACTTAATTGCATAAACTCATCTAAGTTGCATTTGGATATGTGTAATTGATAATTCACACACACACATAAGGAGTCTTAGGTGGGGTTGAGATTAGCATTCGAGTTGAAATTCTAAACTTTCAAAAAGTTTAAAGTCTTTCTTGAGCTGTAACTTATGTGAGATCTCTGAGGCATTTTTTGTGAAACAACGCCGGATCAATACTCAAGCAAGGTTTCATTTATTTATGTTTCGTATTATTTGTGTTTTCATTTCTTTTTAGTTTTCTTTCTTTCATTTTTATTTTGCTCGAGGACTAGCAAAATATTAAGTTTGGGGGTATTTGATGAGTGAGTTTTACTCGCTCATTTAGTATCGTTTTACACTTAATATCTAGTTGGTTTTCGAGGTTTTTGTTAGTTTTTATGTGTGTTTTTGTTCTTTGTTTGAAGGTTAGGTAAAAGTCTATGATTTGGAAGGTTTTGGATAAATTTCACTGAAATCTGACGGAATTAGTGCATTGGGGCAGAATGGGCAGCGCTTAGGTGCCCATGATAGCGCCGCAGCGCCCTGAATTTTACACAGTAGCGCCGCAGCGCTAGGAACTCAGCGCCGCGGCGCTACGACGCGAGAAAAGACGCGTTTTGAAGGCCAAT